ACCCCCCCACCCCTGCACACACACTCCCCACCCCTGCACACACCCCCACCCCTGCATGCACACACACCACCTCTGCACACACCCACCTGTACACACACCCCCATCCCAGCACACACACCACCACCCCTGCTCACACACCCCCAACCCCTGCACATGCACACCCTAACCCTGCACACACACACACTTCATCCCTGCACATGCACCCCCACCCCTGCACACCTGACCCCTGTATACACACACCCCACTCCTGCACACACCTCTCACCCCTGCACATCCCACTCCTCCACACACGTACACCCCACCCCTGCACACAACCCACCTCTGCACACACCTCACCCCCGCACATGCACACCCCACCCCCGCACACACACATCCCACCCCTGTACGCATGCCCCCCACCCCTGCACACACGTCCCCATCTCTACACACGCACACCCCACCCCTGCTCACACACACCCCACCCTTGCTCACACACCCCACCCCTTCACGTGCATACCCCACCCCTGCACACGCTTCCCACTCCACACATTCTTCCAACCCCTGCATGCACACCCCCGCCCCTGCACACACACCCCACCCCTGCACGCACACCCCCACCCTGCCCATTCTGGTTCTGTGAACACGGCTAAGGGCCCCGGAAAGTGCCCCGGTGGAACCCCCCCCTTTGTCCCGGTTTTTTTTTTTTTTTTTTTTTTTGAGACTGAGTCTGGCGTGCAGTGGCATGATCTCGGCTCACTGCAAGCTCCGCCTCCCAGGTTGTACAGATTCTCTTGCCTCGGCCTCCTGAGTAGCTGAGACTACAGATGTACGCCACTACCCCCAGCTAATTTCAGTAGAGATAGAGGTTTCACTCAGTTGGCCAGGCTGGTCTTGAACCCCTGACCTTAGGTGATCTGCTCTCTTCAGCCTCCCAACGTGCTGGGATAACAGGTGTGAGCCACTGTGCCTGGCCCGGTCTCTTTTGGTAAATGGGGAGGCAGGGTCTGAATGAGTCTGGCCCCAGGGGCCCGATACCTTGAGCAGCAGAACCAGGCGAGCCGCAGGGACAGATGTGGCCCAGGTGTGAGCTGCGCAGCATTGGGTCCTCCTAGGTGGCCAATGGGGCTCAGTGCCTTCCCATGAGGGCCCCCACCGGCTCGTCTTGAGGTGATCACAGGGCAAGACCAGACCCCCAATGCTGCTGTCCTGCCCTGGAGGGCCCTGGGGGTGAGGAACTGCCCACACAGCCCCCATGCTCCCACAGCTTCTGTTAGGGTGGAAATGTGAAGCCCCAGGTCCCAGGTACCTTACAGATCTGACTTCGCAGGGAGAAGGCTGGGGAGAGGTGACCACAGCATTGGGCGTGCAGGCTGGGCCCCCGGGAGCTATTGGGAGGCTTCACTTTCCACTGGCCAGGCCTCAGCAACAGACCCTGAGTCAAGGCGCAGGGGTTCTGGCAACCATGCCCTCCCACAGAGTGGCAGCCCCCAAAGGTGGCTCTCCAGAAGGGACACGTGCTGATCCCCTGGGATCCTCTTATCCACAATCTCTGTCCTTCCCCCCCTGCCTGGCGTATTCCATCTGGGACTGGAGACGGGAGTCCTTGGCAGACTGCAGGAGTATCACACCTGACTTTGTTGACAGTATTTTCTCGTGAGAAGAGCTTTAATCCTAGCCTGAAAACAATCCTAACTACATCAAATTCACACCAAAGCGTCTAGAAGGACAGCACCTTAGCTGCCCCCCAGGAGCGCACCTGGTTCCCGGAGTCCTTCCCTCGGCGAGGTCCGTGTTCATGCGTCCTGAGTCCAGCCTCAAGTTGGAAGTGCAGACCTTTCCAGAGGAGGCTGTGAAGGAGAGCGCCCAGTCCTTCGGTAAGAGGTGACACAGAGGCACAGGGGCTGGAGACTCCCCACGGTGAAGAACCCCATCATGGGGTGCAGGCAGACCCCAAGCTCCACTCCTCTGGGCCCTCCCTCTCTGGGAAGCCCTGGAGCTCCAGGAACCATGAGCCTGGGAGCGGCAGGCTGGCCCTGTGGCTGGACCTGAGGGGCAGGGATGCAATCCCCTCGCTGTACATCCAGTGATGTTTCACACCCAAAAATAGTAACAAAGACCTATCAGCATGGGGCACCTTATTTATTACTGGACTCAAACCTGTGAGTGTACAGTGTGACACAGCCACTCTGAAAGGGTGACGGCAGCGCTCCAGCCACACGCAAATGCTGTTCCTGGGAAGTGTGCCTGGCAATTCTGACATGACTCTGTGCACAGATGAGCAGAAAGGTGAGTATGCGAGAGCCAGATTTTCAGAGGCTGCAACAGGGGGCAGGCTGGACCACATTCCACAGACGGTGTGAACTCGTGGCTGCGGCACTGCACCGGGGCAGCCGTGGACGCCTCTTAGCCGTGGGCTGTGGAGCTCCAGGCAGCAGCACACAGCACTGAGGCCCACGCTTCGTACCCATGTCTTGGTTTCCTGGTTGGTTTTTTTTTTTTTTTTTTTGAGACAGGGTCTCCTTCTGTCACCCAGGCTGCAGTGTAGTGGTGTAATCCTAAGTCACTACAGCCACAGCCTCCCAGTCGCAAGCAAACCTCCTGTACCAGCTTCCCAAGTAGCTTAGTCCACAGGCCCACGCCATCATGCCTGGCTACTACTTGGTAGAGATGGGCGTCTCACTATGCTGCCTGGGCCGCTCTCCAAAGCCCTCCCACCTTAGCCTCCCAAAGTGCTGGGATTACAGGCGTGAGCTCCTGCACCAGGCCTCCAGATCCTGGTTTTCTAAACACCATTCCCCACTGAAAGGAATCGGAGCTTCCTGGAGAAGTGGCTGATCCTCAGGGCTAGGGCAACAAGCACCAAGATGAGCCAAGAGCGTCCTGCAGTGCTGGGCCAGGCCACGCTCAGAGACTGCCGGGGTGGGAGGGAAGCTGACCTCAGTCTCCTGAATGAGATACTATGTGCTGAGCCACAAAGTAGGCACCAGCAACCACTGTAACCCACGCAGTGAACACAGACAGGTCCAGATGGATGAGAAACATGGAGGGAGTGGGGAGGGTCCTGCCTAGAATCCTCAAGAAAATCACAGCCGTTTTGAGTCAATGGACATAACACTCAGGGAAAGCGGGTTGAGGCCTGCAGAGTGGTCAGGATCTTCCCACAAGGCACATTAATTAAAACAGGAAAATGAAGCACAGCGCAGTGGCACACACCTGCAATCCCAGCACTTTGGAGGTCGAGGCAGACGGATCACCTGAGGCCAGGAGTTTGAGACCAGCCTGGCCAACATGTAGAAACTCTATCTCTACTAAAATTAGCTGGGTGTGGTGGCAGGCACCTGTAATCTCAGCTACTCAGGAGGCCAAGGCAGGAGAATCGCTTGAACCCGGGAGGCAGAGGTTACAGTGAGCCAAGATCACGCCACTGCACTCCAGCCTGGGCGATAAGAGCAAGACTCCGTCTCCAAAATAAAAAATAAATGAAAAGGGAAAATGCTAACTTCACAGTGGAGAAGGCTGGGGATGCCACTGCACCCCGTGGTGAAGGGCACAGTCACCAGCACCAAGACACAGGGATGCCACGGCCCCTGCCACCAGCAGTCAGGAAGACCTCTACCACATCACGTGAAAACTGCATCCCTCAAGCTGAGAACATTCTGCAAAACAGCGGCCAGCAGTTTCAAACCATTCTGGTCGTGAAAGATGAAAAAGGAACTGTCCCAGATTGGAGGCAGCAGCACGAGGACACGCAATGTGGGACGTCGGACCAGAGATGGTCAGGGCAGCGTGGTGTCCGGCCAGTGCATAGACCACGTACTGTACAACTGTTAGGTAAGTTTCAAAGAGAACTTGAAATGGGGGGTTCTGCCTGCTGGTTGGGGCGGGCCTGAGAATGAGCATTGCCTGTCCGCCCACCCCCACAGTGGACACTCCAGCTGCCCCTCCTCGGTCTCCTCAGCAGGGGAAAGGACCACTCCAGGGGCTCACACAAAGCTCCAAAGCTAAGTTTGAGAACGTTTCCAGGGACCCACGTGTTTATTTACAACAGCATTTGAGGAAAAGGGTAAACAGCCCCTGTCCTCGGTGCCCAAGGGGACAGGCTGAGGCAGCCCCCGCCCTCCTCAAGGCTGTTACCCTTGATGGATAGAAGGACGTTCTCCCAACACCAGAGGTCATTGTGGGGAGGCTGGAGGGACCACAGCCAGGCAGTACCCCGACCCCCACATCCAGGATCTGCCAACACTAGACCCTCCCCGGGGGCTCCCAAGTTCTGAAAAGAAAACCAAGCTCAGTGAGCGCAAGTCAGGGTCTCCACGTTTGTGCACGTAGGAGCCACAAGACCACTGCTGCCTCAGTGAAGGCGGCGGGGGGTGGGCAGGACTGAGGGGTGGGACCCAAGCTCCCTGCCAGCCGCCCACCACCTGCCTTTTCTACTTTGGCAAAAAAAAGAAAAAATCCTGGAAGCCTCAAGACAACAAAGTAAACATTAGGAAATGGAACAGATACAGGCTGTGCCCAACGCCTGCTCAGCAAGTCCATCCATGAGTGCTGCTGGCGGCTCCTCAGGGCACAGGAGCGGCTTTTCCTCAAAGCAGCCCCAGTCCAGTCCGGCTAAAGACAGCTCTCCTGGGCTCCCCCCACCAGCTGCCCTGGCTTCCACGCTGGGAAGGCAGTTGGGGTACAGTCAGGGGAGGCACCCACTTGTGGAGAGAGATGGTAGAGGGGGACATAGGGAAAGGTCGTCCAAGAGAAGCAGGCTGCCCCCCGGGAGGAGCACCTGCTGGGACTGCAGCTGGCCAGCCTGGGACAGGCTCCTGCCGAGGAGACACAGCACAGACCACGGGGCCAAAGGCACCTCCAGACGCAGCAGCCACGTGAGAGTGAACGCCACAGGGTGGGCACGCGTGGATCTGGATCTGGGTGACGGTTCTGTCTCCACAGACTGGGCACGGGGCAGCTTTAGGAACTGAGGGAACCGAGGGAGCTGAGAACAGGCCGGGGGCTCAGCCAGCTGGTAGGGGCAGCCGAGACCCAGTGCCTGGAATGATGGAGGAGGCGGGGTCGGCATGGGTGGCACTGATGGCCTCCAGCACACACAGGCCTGTGGTGGCTCCTTGGGCTGCGTCTGTCCACACGGTGGGGCCTCCTGCCTGCTGAGGGGTGCGGAGTGGCCCCCAGGAGTTGCTTGGCAACAAGGCAGCCCTGACCCCTCTGGCTGACAAGCCACACGCCTGCCGCCCCAGAGTCTGAAGCCCCTGCAGTGGCCCCTCCTGGCCTCCCCGCTGTCGGCCCAGAGTCACAGAAATCACTCCCACAAATTTGCAGAAACTCAACACCAGGACACAGACCCACCGCCCAACCCAGAAGAACAGGAACAGCCTGAGGCTGCCCAGGCCTGGCGGTGAGAGGAGCCGTGGCTGCCGGCCGCAGCTCTGCAGGGTCAGCACAAAGGCAAGACGCGGTGGGGAGAGGACGGGAGCCTTCCAGCGCATCGCAGGGCAGAGGCGGTGCTGCGGCAGGGCGCAGCTAGTTCCTCAAGGCGGCCAACCTGGAAACCAGCAACAGGACTTGGGTCACGGCCAGGGAAGGGCGGCCTCTGACCCCTGGGTGCTCCCAGTGAGGCGCCTCCTCCATCTGGAGTGCAGCGGCCCGATTCCTCCTCAGTGCCAGCTTTTCGAGCTGTCCTGACATGAGTGACATGCACTGTCCCACTCGTACCTGTTCCACGAGGAAGGGCACGCTGCAGACACGTGTGTGAGTGCCATGCCTCATGCCAGCCAGAGCAGGACAGGCAGCAGCGGGGCGGCTTGGCGCGGGGGTGGCCATGGCTGGGGCCCGAGTCCAGATCGGTGCGCTCAGATCGAAGCCTCGGTCCAAGCTCTCCTCTGGCCTCTGACCCACAACCCTCTCCCGTCCCACAGCTCCAGAGTATGGGGCTGGTGACACAGCATCTCTGGGACAGACCCACCTCCGGGACAGCTGGTCTTCCTGGCTGCGCACAGAGGTCTCGCCCACAGCAGAGGCGCCCTCGGGCAGCTGGCTGAGCTGGTCCAGCACTTCCAGGCCATTCTCCTCGGCAATCTGCACGATGAGGCTGTCCACCTGCTCCTGCGGCGTGGTCAGGGTGGTGGCCGAGCTCATGGAGTCCTCCATCACCTGGGGACAGGGGCATGCTCTGGACACAGAGGCCCACGGAGCCCCACACAGCCTCACGACGGCCCGACCACACTTTTCATCCCCTCCCACAGCCGCCACCTTGTCCTGTTCTCTCAGTGACTCTGTCTCAGCTTCCTGCCGCTACACCCCGCCCCGGCCTCTGGGCGCGCCGTGACTGCGGCCTCGGTGAACACCCTTCTGCCCCTCTGCATGCTTGTTTGCCGTCTGAGCTCCCCACAAGGAGTCAGGTGCCTGCAGCAGGCTCCTGCTGCCCTGCCCCTACCACCTCTCAGGGTCCTGGCAGGGCCCAGCACAGACGATGCTTGGTGACTCAGGGAGCCACCACACGTGTGCAGAGACGGCATGTCCACCTGTGAGCCACCCTCCCATGAGCTGCGCCTCCTTGTCCCTGGCCATATCCCCGAGGTCAGGTGTCTACATACCGACGTGTGGACGTCCAGGTTCTGCACCTGCTGCTCAAACCTGTCCATCACCGTGGAGACCTTCTGCAGGTCCATGGTGCTCAGGGCCTTGTCCAGGGCTTTGGTCACCTGGGCCATGTTCTTGGTCACCTGAGACAGGAGAGGGTGCAGGAGGAACAGTATGAAAGGCAGGTGGAGCTCACACACCAGGAGGGGAGAGCTGGGGCGTCCCAACCCCAACCCACAAACTGCAGCTCTGGGCTGAGCCATCATCCGGGTCCTAAGGAGACCCAGTGCAGGGTCCCCGGAGAAACGGGTGCCGCTGTGGGATCTTCAGGACCGCTGTGCTCTGCTGGCCCACTCACTGTGTGAAGGAAATGCCCTCAACAGAGCTAAGGCCCCGCTGTGACGTCCCCTGCCCCAGCAGATGAGCCCGGCCATGCAGGCCCTGCATCTTGTGGGAGGTTGCCAAGTCCGAGGCCTGGCCAGACGCAGTGAGTGGCTCACCCCCTAATTCTAGCACTTTGGGAGGCCGAGGTAGGAGAATTGCTTGAGGCCAGTTTTGACACCAGTCTGGCCAACATAGAGACCCTGTCTCTACAAAAAAAATGAAAAATCAGCCAGGCTTGGTGGTTGATGCCTGTGGTCCCCGCTACTTGGGAGGCTGAGGCAGGAGGATCACTTCAGCCCAGGGGTTCAGGCTGCAGTGGGCTGTAACTGCACCACTGCACTCCAGCCTGGGTGACAGAGCAGGACAGTCTCTAAAAAAACATATTAAAAAAAAAGAAAGCCCAAGGCCTATGAGGAGGCCCTTCCTGGGGTATCACTGCAAGCTCAGGTGCAGCCTCACCTGCGTCTCTGCTGGCATTTCCTAACCCATGCTGATCAGTGTCCTTCAACTCTGAGCTTCCCCAGATCCAGACCATCCCTGCCTCAGCCAGCAGAGGCCGCCCCTCGGGCACCAGGTCCCAGCACTCACCCCCTTCATGGTCACAGCTGTCTGCACCTTGGAGGCCACCGCGTCTACGCGGGACGCCATTCGAAGCCAGTTCACACCTTCGTTCTTCTTGCGGATGGCGTTCTCGGCATACACACGGGCGCACTCTACATTTTTCTGCTGAAGGGCCTGAAACCCGGGGAAAAGCGGCTGGAAGAACTTGGTGGTGCCTGTGCCTACAGCCAGCTGCCCAGGGGTGAGCTCTCCCGGACACCACTGGCCACAGTGGGTGGGTCTCTGCAGTCCTCTCCCATGTCTTCACTAGAAACGTCTGAGCTAAAAAGGCAGATGCCCAGGCCCCAGCCCAGCCCCCCATGCAGGCTTCTGCTCCCCCGGCCCCCAGCACTCCACGGGGCATAGCACACGGCCGGCACTCAGAGCCTGTGGGAGGCAGCTCTCCAGCTCCTTTCTGCCTGGGAGCCTGGCTGTGGGTGAAGAGTTACCGAAGTCCAATACCCTGGGACGGACTTCACCCATTAGGCAAAGTTTTAAGAACTGCACAAGATCCCAACTTCCTTTATTTTTTATTTTTGTTTTTTTGGAGATGGAGTCTCACTCTGTGGCCCAGGCTGGAATGCAATGGTGCGATCTTGGCTCACTGTAACCTCCGCCTCCTGGGTTCAAGCCATTCTCCTGCCTCAGCCTCCCAAGTAGTTGGGACTACAGGTGCACGCCACCACGCCCGGCTAATTTTTGAAATTTTAGTAGAGACGGGGATTAACCACGTTGGCCAGGCTGGTCTCAAACTCCTGACCTCAGGTGATCCACCTGCCTCGACCTCATAAGCACCGTGCATGGCCTACCCACCTTTCTTTCTGCCCTGTCCATCATGGGGAGGGAACCCCTGTGAGCCTCCAGCCCTGTCCCACCCATGGGGGTGGGGGCATCATACCTCTGTCCAGACCCTGATGCCCAAGGTACCAGCTCCATAGGAGAAGAGAGCTAAAAATGATAGGATGAGCCAGGCACGGTGGCTCATGCCTGTAATCCCGGCACTTTGGGAGGCCAAGGTGGGAGCATCATTTTAGGCCAAGAGTTCAAGACTGGCCTGGCCAACATGGCAAAACCCTGTCTACAAGAACGAAGATTAGATGGGTGCAAGCCTGTAATCCCAGCTACTCGTGAGGCCGAGGCATGAGAGTCTCCTGGACCCGGGAGGTGGAGGCTGCAGTGAGATGAGATGGCACCACTGCACTCCAGCCTGGGCAGCAGAGCGAGACTCCCTCTCAAAAAAAAGAAATCATGGTGAGGATTAAGTCATGATGTAGAAAGTGCCCTGCCTCTCCCCAAAAGGCATCAAAACAAAACAAGAAACAAAAATAAGGGCAGAGAAGGACAGAAGAAGACCCAGGAGGGTCATGGCCCTCAGGCCCCCAGCCTCACCTTCTTCACTTTGGCCTGCTCCGCCTTGGAGTCCTTCTCCGCCTTCTTGGCCAGCTTCTCCAGCTGCTTCGCTGTGAACTGAGCAGAAACCCAGTGCTCTGGGTCAGACGTGTGGAGCCCAGCCCCTGCTCTCCACACCCACACCTGCACCATGCAGTTTCCTAAGCACCCATCAGCCAGCCTGGGCCCGGCACATGGCAGGGAAGGCATGAAGCCTGCGGGCGGCAAGAGATGGCAGCAGCTCAAGGCGGACGCTGCCTGCTCTGCCTCAGGCTCTGTCTGGCCTCCAGTGTCTGTCCTCTCCATGAACACCCCACCCAAGGCCGCCTCCGAGCGGAAGGGTCAGAAGCATCTCACTCTGGTCTCGACTCCTGCTTGTGGATGGCTTTTCAATGTAGAAGAAAGACTCAAAAAACTCCTCTCAGGCTACCACCACGTCATAATAGAATTCCAGGTGAAGACGCACCCGAAAGTACTACCTTGAACGACGAATGCTGGGTATGCAGCGGGTTGCTGGGCAACCCACACAGTTTCTGGGACCTAACTGCTCTGCCGGCACCACAGGGAAACAGGGTCTCTGGAAACCCACCTGGAGCCACAGACGCCCTGGTCCTGGGCAGCCCTGCCTCCCATGGCGCCTCAGGGCTCAGGACACAGCAGGCCTGTCCCCAGTGGCATCTGACAGGTCCACTGTGATGGGAGAACACCCCAAAGCTGCATCAGGAGCTTAGAACCAGCGACAAGGCAAGATAAAGCTGGCCACAGCGGAGCAGCCAGGAGCACGTGCCCGGGAAATGCACAGAAGCCTGCCCTGGAACCACCACCCACATAGGAGGAATACTCAGAAAGCTCTCCTTCAAATGATGAGTCCACATTTAAGTGTTAAGAAGTGCCCAGCAGAACGTCCAGGGCATGATTCCCAACTTGTCTTTCTTAAAGATAACACTTGGTCTTTCACAGGCAAGCCTAAGGATCTGCCCCCACTTGGCCTGAGACCAGAAGAGAGCTAATATGTCACCAAGCCAGCTCGGCTCAATAATCCCCTCCTTGGTCAGCAGTCTGAGCCCTGTGTAGTGGTCACTCAACCATCAGATAATCTGCCCGACTCTTTCTGTGGCTCTGAGTGAGTGCAGCTTAGACTCTCTGTCTTCACCAGAGCAGGGCGGGATGAGCAGACATTCAGTACCTACCTTCAACTGGAACAGGGTATCTGCAAAGAAAGAGGGAATGGTTTGAGGATTTGGGAATGAGACGTTACACTTCTAGCAAACAGGACTCTTGAGGACCCTTCTAGATACCAGGAGCTACATACACAGACACACCCACCTGGGGTCTGCAGGGAGTCCCCAAACAGGGGAGGCAGAACACAGGTTAGTGTGCCAGCCCTGACCCCTTGCTAACACAGGGCCAGCAAATGCAGACCCTCCCTATCCATTTCCTTGCTGGGAACCTGAGGATGGCACCAGACAATCTCAAAGGGTCAGGTGAGGACAGGGGAGGCCACGGCCACGGTTAGAATCCCCAAGACGGAGGTTTAGAATTAATGCAACTTTGCTAAGAGCCTTGGGATTCTTTCCCAATTTAAAAGTTCACCTGTAATCCCAGCACTCTGGGGGGCCAAGGCCAGTGCATCACTTGAGGCCAGGGGTTTCATGGCAGCCTGGGCCAATTTAAAAGTTGGGTACCTGATAGTCTACTTTAATAGACTTTTTCTCCCCAAAGATAAATGGATACAAATAGCAAGGTACTAACTCTTAGGCATCGAAGAGCAGATTTCCACCAGGCATGGTGGCTCAAGCCTGTAATCACGGCACTTTGGGAGGCCGAGGCAGGCCGATCACTTGAGGTCAGGAGTTCGAGACCAGCCTCAGGAATACAGTCAGATCTCACCGCTATTAGAAAAAAATGTTTGGCCAGGCGTGGTGGCTCACACCTTTAATCTCAGCACTTTGGCAGGCTGAGGCGAGTAGATCACGAGGTCAGGGGTTCAAGACCAGCCTGGCCAAGATGGTAAAACCCCGTCTCTGCTAAAGATACAAAAATTAGCCGGGCATGGTGGCAGGCGCCTATAATCCCAGCTACTCAGGAGGCCGAGGCAGAGAATTGCTTGGACCCGGGAGGCGGAGGTTGCAGTGAGCCAAGATCGCGCCACTGCGCTCCATCTCACTCTGTCGCCCAGGCTGGAGAGCAGTGGCGTGATCTCCCGCTCACTACAACCTCCGCCTCCTGGGTTCAAGCAATTCTCCTGCCTCAGCCTCCAGAGTAGCTGGGATGAAAAAAGATGGTTTTTAAAAAGTAGGATTGATCTCAATTCATTCAACTGCTAAATTTGGAGAGTGACCCTAATACCTGATTCCTGGAAGGGCTTTTACCACACATTCCAGAATGAGGAAGTGGAACCTGTCAAAAGAATGAGGTGACTAGGGCCGGGCGCGGTGGCTCACGCCTGTAATCCCAGCACTTTGGGAGGCCGAGGCGGGTGGATCACGAGGTCAAGAGATCGAGACCATCCTGGTCAACACGGTGAAACCCCGTCTCTACTAAAACTACAAAAAATCAGCTGGGCATGGTGACGCGTGCGTGTAATCCCAGCTACTCAGGAGGCTGAGGCAGAGAATTGCTTGGACCCGGGAGGCGGAGGTTGCGGTGAGCCGAGATCGCGCCATTGCACTCCAGCCTGGGTAACAAGAGCGAAACTCTGTCTCAAAAAAAAAAAAAAAAAAAAAGAATGAGGTGACTAAGCATTCACAAATGCAAATCAAAGCTCTAAGCTGAGACTTCCTGCTGTTCCAATGAGCTCTGTGCAAGGTTCAGTCTATCACCTGTGAAGACAGGTATGGTCAAGGCCAAGTTCAATCTGTCCTTTATCAGTGCAGGTGTTTTCAAGGCCAAGGTGATCTGTGACTCTGGGAAACAGCCAACCCAACCCAGGTGCACAATGCAGGCCAGGCGGGCCTTCCCATCCAACTCACTGCAGGGTGCTGGGGACTGTGCCCCTCTCCACCTCAGCTTTCTCCTCTAGCCATGTCTATGGCAGCACAAAAACCCAGTTAGGGCGAAATTTGACATAGGCTTGAGAAAAGTCCCCTCAAAATTGCTGAGTGAGCTGTAGAGGGAAAAGCCAGCTTTCCGCACCCCCCCAGACAGTCTCGCTCTGTTACCCAGGCTGGAGTGCGGTTGCATGATCTTGGCTCACTGCAACCTCTGCCTCCTGGGTTCAAGTGTTTCTCCTGCCTCAGCCTCCAGAGTAGCTGGGATTACAGGTGCCTGCCACCACGCCCAGCTAATTTTTGTATTTTTAGTAGAGACAGGGTTTTACCATGTTGGCCAGGCTGGTCTCAAACTCCTGACCTCAGGTGATCCAACTACCTCAGCCTCCCAAAGTGCTGGGATTACAGGCGTGAGCCACTGCACCCGGAGTAGCCAGCATATTTTTTGTGAGGGGAGGTAAAGGCTATCTTTCATCTTCTCTCTGAGGCAATTTGTAGAAAATTTGTACACATTTCCTTGATGATGATGACACGGTGGTACTATAGCTTTTCAAAGTTCAAAAAGTATTTTTAAAAGCCTGCCTATCACACCCGCCCATCAACGTTTCAACAAATGTAATACTTCATTTTTTCAGGATTCCTCGTGTTCTTTGGTATCCCTGAGCACAGAGCAGGCCTCAGGTGGAGAAGGACAGGACCAGGGCATCCCACTGCCTGGAGCTGCTTGCCCCACACTGGCTCCTGCTAGGGAGCAGGATCCCCGTCTGTAGAATGGAGGCTGACAGGTCCTATGACAAAGAGTGCTGTGAGCAGGGCCTGGCACTTAGGGATCAGTTTTTGTCTGAGCTCTTCTGATTTGTCGTGATGCTGTTTGGGGCTAGGGGATGCAACTGTCACTTTTTTCCTGTGCCCTCTGACCCGACATTCCAGGGCCCAAAAGGCTGAACAGGCATGCTGCCAGTTCCCTGTCCCAAACTGGTGGGGAAGGGTGCCTGATGCTGAGGAGTGCCGGGGCCAGGGGAAGGAGAGCAGTCGACAGGGGTAAGGGTCTTGGGTCGGTGGTCAGGGGTCGAGGTCCGGGGTAAGGGGTCCCGGGGAGAAGGATCCCGGGTTGTGGGTTGGGGATCGGGGAAGGGGTCCCGGTCGGTGGTCGAGGCCCAGGAGAAGGGGTTCGGGTCGGGGATCGAGGCCTGGGAGAAGGGGTCCGGGGTAGGTGGTCAAGGCCCCGGGGAAGGGGTCCCGGGTCGGGGATCGGGAGTCGAGGTCCGGGGGAAGGGTTCCAGGTCGGTGGGCGGGGGCGAGGCCCGGGAGAAGGGGTCCGGGTCGGGGATCGAGGGTCGAGGCCCGGAGGAAGGGGTCCCGGGGCGGTAGTCGAGGCTCCAGGATAGGGGTTCCCGGTAGGGGATCGAGGGACCAGGCCCGGGAGCCTTCCCGAGCCCCGCCCGCGGCCCCAGGTGGGCGGAGCCCGCGCCAGGGGAGAACCGGCCCCGCCCCGCGCGCGATTCCCGAGGGCGGCCGCGACCTCTTACCGTCCATGACCACAATGATAGGAGCAACGCTCGGAGACGGGGAGGGGACGCGAACTCCGGGTGGCGTCAGGTCCCGGCGGCGATCGAACCGACCAAGCTGCGCCCGCCGGGGACTTCCGGGGTCACCGCCCCGCTTCCGGTCGCACGGGCTGCTCTCGCGAGAGGATGGGGCGGGCTGGGCTACGCCGCGCGCGGTTGCCATGGTGACGCGCGCCGCGGACGCCGGGGCCCTCTGTGAGTCGCTGGCGCTGCGCGGCCGCTGAGGCGCGGGGACCCAGACCTGCGCCCGCGGGGGCGGTGAGCGCGGCTATGGGCCTTTCCAAAAGCAAAGAGAAACCCCGGAAAGGTAAAGGGGCGCCGGCGCCGGGCTCCCCGCCTCTCCGCCCCTCGGCGCGGCCCGGGGCGGGGCCGGGCGGGCGACGCGAGCGCGGACCGTTCCTGACCCGAGTCCGCCGACCACGGCGCGTGGAGGGTTTTCCCGCCCGAGGCGGTGACGGAAACGGAGCGCTGGAGACTTTGAAGCTGGTTCTGGGCCCGGGCGGGCGCCTGACGACGCCGGGCCCCGCCGTCCTGGTTCGTAAGTCCCGGCCCTAACGGGCGGTCCTGCGTTTCAGGTGAGGAGCCGAAGATGGCGCCGCCCAGCTGTCCCGCTCCCCAGGCGGCGGAGCGGGGGACGGAGACGCCGGCCCGGGAACCCAGGCAGGCGGAGCGGGGGCCGGAGCGGCCTGCGGACGGCCTGCACCCGGGGCCCGGGGCCGCCCGGCACCCGCCGCGCGCGGCTGCGCCGGCAGGTAGGACGCGCCGGCAGGGAGCGGAGCGCGGGCGGCGGTCCCGAGACCCGCCGGTGAACGCGCGCCGCAGGCTCGGGCGCCCAGGGCGCCGCTGTTTGACTTGGGGGCGCCGTGTGGGGGGAGGCCCAGCGTCCTGGGTCGTGAAGGCGAGTCCCGGGCCATGCGGGCTCCCCAGGCGCTGCAGGGCCGCGGCGGTGTCCGCGCGCGGGAGCGGAGCGTGGGAAGCCGTCCCAGCCCGGGGCTGGCGCTCGGAGCGCGCTGGCGCGAACACGCCACGCGGGATGACCGAGCACGTGGACCCCGTGCGACAGCCGGCTGCGACCAGGCCTCCGGTGTGCGGGGAAGCGAGGCCCGCAAGGAAGGGGGAGCTAGAATAGAGTTTCCCGGCAGCTTCGGCGCATGGGTGGTGGGGCTCGAACTGTCAAATATTCTGTGAAATGTTTTCAAGAACACAGGGTGGCCGGGTGCGGTAGCTCAGGCCTCTGATCCCAGCACTTTGGGAGGCTGAGGCGGGTAGATCACCTGAGGTCAGGAGTTCAAAACCAGCCTGACCAAGATGGTGAAAAAAGTTAGCTGGGCATGGTGGCAGGCGCCCGTCATCTCAGCTGGGAGGCTGAGGGAGAATCACTTGAACCGTGGAGGTGGAGCTTGCAGTGAGCCGAGATGGCACCATGGCATTCCAGCCTGGGTGACAGAGCGAGATACCATCTCAAAAAAAAAAAAAAAAGAAAGGTGCTGCCAGGCTCGGTGGTTCACACCTGTTGTCCCAGCTACTTGGGAGGCGGAGGCGGGAGGATCTTTTGAGCGCAGGAGTTCAAGACCAGCTTGGGCACCATAGTGAGAACTTGTCTCTGCAAAAAATGAATATATAAAAATAAAGCAAGGCAGCATGATGGGCCCTGTGCCTACCAGTCGGGGGCAAGTTCCCAGGAGGGTGGTTCCTTCAGAGGCCCCTTGCTGTGGTCTGCTGGGAACCAGCAAGGCCGTGCAGCAGGAATTCCAGAACCCTTAGAGCGTGCGGTTAGGAGATTTGGGGCCTGTGCCAGGAAGAGTTGTTTCCATTTCATGACAGGAGCGAACCCCTCATGGGTCAGACAAGAAAGAATGGCAGGGATGACTGTCCCGCTAGGCAGAGGATCTGGGCCTGGGCTGGCTCAGACTGGCAGGCTTGTGGGATAAAGCGCTGGAGGGAAGAGGCACCAGGCCTTGGACTTGGAAGAAAGGCATGGAGTTGAATCCCCAGCTTCGGAACCCCTCACTGGAGGGTGGAAGTCTGCAGAAATGCATCACCCTAAGATGGCAGTTTGGAAAATGCTACCTGTCTCAGGGTGCTTTTAGCTGAAAGTTACAAAACAGCCAACTAAAATGAGCTTTAAGGCAGGGATTTAATGTGTCACAAATGAAGGGTCAGAGGCAGGGTTTCTGGGGTGCCTTGCTCATTAGCACAGCGGTGACATCAAGGGCTATGCAGGTCTCCTTTCTGCCACCCTCAGTGTCAGGGACGTCCTCCTCCACAGCCCCTGATGACTGTACAGCTCCCACATGCAGGCAGGCCTGCGTCTACTCCAAGAGGCGTTGGTCTTTGCCTTATGTTAGCAAGGAAACCTTTCCAGGAAGACTTGGCCTGCCCGGCCTCTCAAGAATGCACTCAACTGTGCAGGTTCACCAGGGGTTGGAGGGAGCTGTGAAGCTCAGAAACGGGCAGGACCTCTGCCAGCAGCACATGTAGGGAAGGGCCCCAGCAGTGTTTGTCACTCCAGGGGGTGGGGAGAGGAAGGTGCACCTGAAGGGAAAACTGCAGAGCAAGAATGAGGACAGAGTTTCAGGAGGGACGATGAAGTGTGCCCATTCTCCACACACTGACGGGCTGAGTGAGTAAAGTGTGCCCATTCTCCACACACTGACGGGCTGAGTGAGTAAAGTGTGCGTGTTCTCCACGCAGTGACGGGCTGAGTGAGTGAAGCGTGCGTGTTCCCCACACAGTGACGGGCTGAGTGGGTGAAGCACGCGTGTTCCCCACACACTGACGGGCTAGTGGGTGAAGCGCGCGTGTTCCCCACGCAGTGACGGGCTGAGTGGGTGAAGCGCGCGTGTTCCCCACGCAGTGACGGGCTGAGTGGGTGAAGCGCGCGTGTTCTCCACGCAGTGACGGGCTGAGTGGCTGAAGTGTGCGTGTTCTCCACGCAGTGACCGGCTTAGTGAAGTGTGTGTGTTCTCTACGCAGTCACGGTCTGTGTGAAGTGTGCGTGTTCTCCACGCAGTGACGGTCTGTGTGAAGTGTGCGTGTTCTCTGTGCAATGACGGGCTGAGTGAAGTGTTCGTGTTCTCCATGCAGTGATGGGCTGACTGAAGTCTATGTATTTTCCATGCAGTGATGGGCCGTGTGAGTGAAGTGTTTGTGTTCTCCATGCAGTCAATGGCTTAGTGAAGTATGCGTGTTCTCCACACACTGACGGGCTGTGTGAGTGAAGCGTGCGTGTTCTCCACGCAGTACGGGCTGAGTCAGTAAAGTGTGCGTGTTCTCCACACAGTGACGGGCTGAGTGAGTGAAGTGTGCGTGTTCTCCATGCAGTACGGGCTGAGTGAGTGAAGTGTGCGTGTTCTGCACACGGTGACGGGCTGAGTGAGTGAAGTGTGCGTGTTCTCCATGCAGTACGGGCTGAGTGAGTGAAGTGTGCGTGTTCTGCACACGGTGACGGACTGAGTGAGTGAAGTGTGCGTGTTCTCCACACGGTGATGGGCTGAGTGAGTGAAGTGTGTGTGTTCTCCACGCGGTGATGGGCTGAGTGGGTGAAGTGTGTGTGTTCTCCAGTGATGGGATGAGTGAAGTATGCGTGTTCTCCACGCAGTGATGGACTGAGTGAGTGACGCGTGCGTGTTCTCCACGCAGTGATGGGCTGAGTGAGTGAAGTGTGCGTGTGCTCCACGCAGTGATGGGCTGAGTGGGTGAAGTGTGTGTGTTCTCCACGCAGTGATGGGTTTAGTGAAGTATGCATGTTCCCCGTGCAGTGATGGGCTGAGTGAGTGAAGTGTGCGTGTTCTCCACGCAGTGACGGGCTGAGTGAGTGAAGTGTGCATGTTCTCCTCGCAGTGACGGGCTGAGTGAGTGAAGTGTGCGTGTTCTTCTCGCAGTGACGGGCTGAGTGAGTGAAGTGTGCGTGTTCTCCACGCAGTGACGGGCTGAGTGAGTGAAGTGTGTGTGTTCTGTATACATGACTGGCTGAGTGAAGTCTGTGTATTCTCCACGCAGTGACGGGCTGAATGAGTGAAATGTGTGTGTTCTCCATGCAGTGATGGGCTGAGTGAAGTATGTGTATTCTCCACGCAGTGACGGGCTGAGTGAGTGAAGTGTGTATGTTCTCCATGCAGTGATGGGCTGAGTGAGTGAGGTATGTGTGTTTTCCGTGCAGTGATGGGCTGAGTGAAGTCTATGTGTTCTCCGTGCAGTGACGGGCTGAGTGAGTGAAGTGTGTGTGTTCTGTATACGTGACTGGCTGAGTGAAGTCTGTGTATTCTCCACGCAGTGACGGGCTGAGTGGGTGTAGTGTGCGTGTTCTCCACGCAGTGATGGGCTGAGTGAGTGAAGTGTGTGTGTTCTCCACGCAGTGATGGGCTGAGTGGGTGAAGTGTGTGTGTTCTCCAGTGATGCGATGAGTGAAGTATGCGTGTTCTCCATGCAGTGACGGGCTGAGTGAGTGACGTGTGCGTGTTCTCCACGCAGTGATGGGCTGAGTGGGTGAAGTGTGCGTGTTCTCCAGTGATGCGATGAGTGAAGTATGCGTGTTCTCCACGCAGTGACGGGCTGAGTGAGTGAAGTGTGCGTGTGCTCCACGCAGTGACGCGCTGAGTGGGTGAAGTGTGTGTGTGTTCTCCACGCAGTGATGGGCTTAGTGAAGTATGCATGTTCCCCGTGCAGTGATGGGCTGAGTGAGTGAAGTGTGCGTGTTCTCCACGCAGTGACGGGCTGAGTGAGTGAAGTGTGTGTGTTCTCCACGCAGTGATGGGCTTAGTGAAGTATGCATGTTCCCCGTGCAGTGACGGGCTGAGTTAGTGAAGTGTGCGTGTTCTCCACGCAGTGACGGGCTGAGTGAGTGAAGTGTGCGTGTTCTCCACGCAGTGACGGGCTGAGTGAGTGAAGTGTGCGTGTTCTGTATACATGACTGGCTAAGTGAAGTCTGTGTATTCTCCACGCAGTGACGGGCTGAGTGAGTGAAGTGTGTGTGTTCTCCATGCAGTGATGGGCTGAGTGAAGTATGTGTATTCTCCACGCAGTGACGGGCTGAGTGAGTGAAGTGTGTATGTTCTCCATGCAGTGATGGGCTGAGTGAGTGAGGTGGGTGTGTTTTCCGTGCAGTGATGGGGTGAGTGAAGTCTATGTATTCTCCACGCAGTGATGGGCTGAGTGAGTGAAGTGTGTGTGTTCTCTACTCGGTGACGGGCTGAGTGAGTTAAGTGTGTGTGTTCTGCATGCAGTGACTGGCTGAGTGAAGTCTGTATTCTGCATGCAGTGACGGGCTGAGTGAGTGAAGTGTGTGTGTTCACACAGTGATGTGCTGAATGACGTGTACATGTTCAGTAACAGGCTGACTGACAGCAGCAGGATACTCACTCCGTTGCCACACTGTAAAGGAGCCACCAAGATGGGACACTGAGAATAGCCAGAGAAAGGATGAGCCATATTGCAATTCCCTTTAGATGAAATGGCCAGAAAAGACACACTTAGCAGAGATGGGAGCTGGCCATGACCGAGCACAGGGCACTTGGGGAGTGATAGAAATGCTTTCAAACCTGAACCTGAACCTGGGAAGCCCTGTAGTTAGCAGTCCTGGCCCCGCAGCACTTCCAAACCAGGAACCATACTTGTGAGTGAACAAGCCATCAGCGATTCCATGCTCTGGCTGGAATCTTGAGTCTTCACAGCTTGGGCCGTGCATCTCGGGCAACCAGCATCAGCATCCACTCCCAGGAGCCACCCTGAACATCTCCATGAGTGTTCAGATGCCTGCAACTGCCTGGGCAACCACAGGTGATCCTGTCCCGCCAAACCTGTCCTGAAAGCATAAAATCATGAGAAGAGAAAATCGTTGTTGTTTTTTTTTTTTTTGAGACAGAGTTTCACTCGTTACCCAGGCTGGAGTGCAATGGCGCGATCTCGGCTCACCGCAACCTCAGCCTCCTGGGTTCAGGCAATTCTCCTGCCTCAGCCTCCTGAGTAGCTGGGATTACAGGCACGCACCACCATGCCCAGCTAATTTTTTGTATTTTTAGTAGAGACGGGGTTTCACCGTGTTGACCAGGATGGTCTCGATCTCTTGACCTTGTGATCCACCCGCCTCGGCCTCCCAGTGTGCTGGGATTACAGGCTTGAGCCACCGCGCCCGGCCAAGAAAATTGTTGTTTTAAGAAAATCGTTGCTAAGGCTTAGGGTGAGTTGCTGTGAAGCAGCAGTAACCAGAACAGAGGGGCTAAGTGACGAAGACGAAGTTTGGCTGTAAGTTAATCTTTGTGGCAACTGTTGGGATATTGATGCAGTTTTGCTGTATCCCCACCCAGATCTCATCTTAAATTCCCACATGTTGTGGGAGGAACCAGGTCGAAGGTGACTGAATTTTGGGGGCAGGTCTTTCCTAAGCTATTCTCATGATGGTGAATAAGTCTCATAAGATGTGATGGTTTTAAAAATGGGAGTTTCCCTGCACAAGCGCTCTCTCTGCCTGCTGCCATCCATTTAAGACATGACTTGCTCCTCCTTGCCTTCCACTGTGATTGTGACGCCTCCCCAGCCATGTGGAACTGTAAGTCCACTAAACCTTTTTCCTGTGTAAATTACTGAGTCTCTGGTGTCTTTATTAACAGCATGAAAGCGGACTGATACAGATACCTTATACAGTTATCGCTACTACTTCTGTATATGCTTAAATTTTTGCATTGCAAAATTCGCAAACGTTATAGAAATTAACGTCACAGATTTACAGTCAACTTATTCTAGAATGTTGGAAATTCTACGACAAATAAAGAACTTGATAAAAAGGAGGGGAATGTTAGAAGGAAACCCTAGGGACCTGGGACCTAGACTCCATCACTCCTGAAACAGTCAAATTCAGCATTTGATCATCAGTCATTATGTGGCAATGCTATTGTAGCTATGCCAAAACAAAATCCCTATCTGATCAAAGAGATACGCTGCAACATTTATGGGTAAAAACATATGTCTGAAATTTGCTTAAAGATATTCAGGAAGCAGGGCTCCATGACTCCCGCCTGTAATCCCAGCACTTTGGAAGGCCAACACAGGTGGATCACTTGAGGTCAGGAGTTCGAGACCAGCCTTGCCAACATGGTGAAACCCTGTCTGTACTAAACACACAAAAAAATTAGCTGGGCATGGTGGTGTGCACCTGTAATCCCAGCTACTTGGGAGGCTGAGGCAGGAAAATCGCTTGAACCCAGGAGTCAGAGGTTGCAGTGAGCCAGGATCATGCCACTGCACTCCAGCCTGGGTGACAGAGCAAGACTCTCAAAAAAAAAAAGGAATTAAAAAAAAAAATAAAAAGCTGAGCGTGGTGGCTCATGCCTGTAATCCAACCACTTTGGAGGCCAAGGCGGGCGGATCACCTGAGGTCAGGAGTTCAAGACCAGCCTGACCAACATGGTGAAACCCCGTCTTTATTTATAAAAATAAAAAATAAAAGGAAAAAAATGAGGAAGATAGAAAAAGATAAAATACTGACCGAAGCTGAGTGCTGTAGAAATACAGGTGCTTGTTATACTATTCTGTTATCTTATGTGTTTGAAGACTTTATTTAATAATTTATTTATTTTTGAGATGGACTTTTGCTCTTGTTGCCCAGGCTGTAGTGCAATGGCGCGATCTCTCCTCTCACCTCACTGCAGTCTCCGCCTCCCGAGTTCAAGTGATTCTCCTGCCTTAGCCTCTGAGTGCTGGGATTACAGGCATGACCCACTGCACCCGGCGTGTTTGAACACTTTCATAACACTTTTATGAAGGTACAGCATGCTGAATTGCAAGAAAATTTTGAAAAAGTAGAGAAATAGAACACCTTTATCAGCTGTTGAAAAATATGCCGAGTGAGAAAGCCATTCGCAGAAAGTCACATGCTGTATGATTCCATTTCTATGCCAAGATTGTAGACATGGAGGACAGATTGTTGGTCACCAGGGGTTTAGGGTTGGGGTGGGGAGTGGGTGTGTCTGTGAAGTGGCAGCAGGAGGGAGGTCGGAGTGCTGGTTGTGCTGCTGGCAATCGATTAAATGGTGTAGGTCTGCCATTTCCTTGTGTCAATAATAGTACTATAGTTACATAAAATGTTAGCTCTGGGGGCCAAGCACAGTGGCTGATGCCTGTAACCCCAGGACTTTAGGAGGCTGAGGTAGGCAGATCCCCTGAGGTCGGGAGTTCCAGAGCAGCCTGACCAACACGGTGAAACCCTGTCTCTACTAAAAGTACAAAAATTAGCTGGGTGCTGGTAGCCTGAGCTACTCGGGAGGCTGAGGCAGGAGAATCGCTTGAACTGGGAAGGCGGAGGTTGCAGTGAGCTGAGATTGCACCACTGTACTCCAGCCTGGGCAACAGAGCAAGACCTCGTCACAAATACGTAAAAATAAAATAAATATTACCTTTGGGAAATACTGGGTGAAGGGTACATGGGGCCTCTCTATACTAATTTTTAAACTTTCTGTGAATTTATAATTATTTAAAATTAAAAATGTATCCATTTATAATAAAATGTAGTTCCTATGTGTAAAAAAAAAAAATCAGATAATAGAAAATATGGACAAGAATAGGTCCCTACTGAGTATATATCTCTATGTGTGTATAATTAATGTATGAAAACACTAGTACCAAAAATAAAGGGAAAAGCAAGCATTCTGTAGTAGATGATGCTAGGAGAATTGGCTTCAAGGGAAACAAATTGGATTGTAATTTCTTGCCACTTACTGAGATCAGTTCCAGATTGAGAAGAGTGAATAGGAGACCAGATGCAGCGGCTCACTCCTGTCATCTCAACACTGGGAGGCCAAGGCAGGCAGATCACTTGAGCCCAGAAGTTCAAGACAAGCCTGGACAGCATGGTGAAACCCAATTTTTACAACAAATTCAAAAATTAGCCAGGTGTGTTGGAGCGTACCGTAGTCCCAGCTTCTCAGGGCTGAGACAGCAGGATCCCTTGCCCAGGAGGTCGAGGCCACAGTGTGCCAAGATTGCACCACTGCCCTCCATCCAAGGTGGCAGAGTAAAGACGCTGTTTCAAAAAAAAAAAAGTGAGCCGGGCGCGGTGGCTCAAGCCTGTAATCCCAGCACTTTGGGAGGCCGAGGCGGGTGGATCACGAGGTCAAGAGATCAAGACCATCCTGGTCAACATGGTGAAACCCCGTCTCTACTAAAAATACAAAAAAAAAAATTAGCTGGGCATGGTGGCGCATGCCTGTAATCCCAGCTACTCAGGAGGTTGAGGCAGGAGAATTGCCTGAACCCAGGAGACGGAGGTTGCGGTGAGCTGAGATCGCGCCATTGCACTCCAGCCTGGGTAACAAGAGCGAAACTCCGTCTCAAAAAAAAAAAAAAAAAAAAGTGGGTAGAAAAAATGTAAATATTAATCTGATTCCTCAATGAGGAACACCCTTCTAGGCTTCCAAGCAGGAAAGGCAGTGCAGATATTAAATAATTTGAGTGCATTAAGATGTTAAACAGCTCTCAAATCACGATAAACAATTGTAAAGCAAATGATAAGCTCAAAAATAAACTTAGATCTAAGAGAGGCCAAAGAATATCCTGTTGGCTGTGGATGAGGGCTCTGACACGGTGTGTCATTTCTAAATGAAGAAACTTTAGCCTCTGAGGAAAATAAAAGAGTCTTGTTTTAGACTAGAAAATTTCAGTAGAATAAATATGTTAACCTTTGCCAAATCAACACCAAGTCAAAACACAGCGGATCTTTTGGGAGTAACAGCAGATTATTCAAAGGTTCAACTAAAGAATACAAATGAGTTCTAATGTCTGGGGAAGAAAAAAAAAAAAAAAAAAAGAGAAAAAAATAAAAATGAGGCCAGGTGCAGTGATTCACGCCTGTAACCCTAACACTTTGGGATCCCAAGGTGGCCAGACCACTTGAGGTCAGGAGTTCGAGACCACCCTGGCCAACATAGTGAAACCTGTCTCTACTAAACAAAACTTAGCTGAGCGTGGTGTTGGGTGACTGTAGTCCCAGCGGCTCGGGAAGCTGGGGCAGGAGAATCGCTTAAACCTGGGAGGCAGAGGTTGCAGTGAGCTGAGATCGCACCACTTTACTCCATCCTGGAGGCCGAGAGTGATACTCCATCTCAAAATAGGGAATAAAATGAAAGAGCAACATGAAACACCTGGAAAAGCAGACGCCTGAGAGGGATGGGCCCTCTGATACTCAGCATGAAACATCTGGAAAAGCAGACGCCT